TGTTATAAGAATCTTTAGCAGATATTATTTGTGTACAATGAAATATTACTTTGGTTTAAAATTATTTAATGTAGTAAATGTCAAATGATTTGAAAGTTAAACGTTTTGCTAACATTTTACATATTAGGTAAATGTGTATTAAGTAAATGTTCTGAATAGAATATTAGTACAATTTTAAAAATGCTTAACATACATAAATAGATGGTTTACAAATGAATCTGTGCTTACATACTTAAGATATGTATATTACATATATAATAATGAATTTTAGGTATAGTGTACTTAAGATATATTATGGATTGTATTGGAGCTCTGGTAGCATAGTGCCTAAGGCACTGGACTGCTAACTAGAAGGTTGGTGGTTCAAAGCCACCAGCCACTCCTCGGAAGGAAGATGGGGCAATCTACGTCTGTAGTGATACTGCCTCAGAAACCCAAGAAGGGGTCGCTATGAGTCGGGTCCAACTCTACGGCACACAACAACAACATTGCATATTAAGAGGGTATGGCTTAGCTCGATCTATTATTTTTTTTATGGAATTCCTTTTTAATTAGCAAAAATAAATTTCTGTTTCTACCATGAATTTTGTCACAAAAGCAATGTGGTAAAGGAATTAATAATGGCTTTTGACCTGATATGAAAGCAAACAAAACCGAAAAAACCAAACCCACTGCCAACAAGTCAATTCTGACTCATAGTGATCCTCATGGGGTTTTCAAGGCTGTAAATGTTTATGAAAGTAGACTGCCTCTTCTTTCTCCTGGGGAGCAGGTGATGGATTTGAACCACTGACTTTCTAGTTAGCAGCCAAATGCCTCCAGAGCTCCTTGAAAGCAAGCAAGTAATCTAAAATCACACATTTAACCAAATTGCTTCTGATATGCATTTGTTGATGATATGTGGTCCAATTTACTTGTATTTTAAATTTCATTAGTATAATTGTAATTTTGAAAATTTTTGCAAGAAAATATAAGTATGTATGACTTGTTTATTAATCAGACATAACTATTTTGAAAGTTTCCTGTATGTGAATACATACACACATTTATTTGAAGCAAACTGGAGCCCATGTTATAAATATAGATGGATGTTTTGGTAGCTTGCTTTACATTGAACATTGTGTTATGAATATTTCCTCATGAAAAGGCTCTAAAATGAGATTATAAGGACTGTAAACTAATTCATTAAAAACAGTATTTAAGATATTTAATTATTATAAATAATGTAATTAATACATAAGTATCTTTAACATATAAATCTTTAACTTCAGTTCACATATTTTCCCAAAAACTAGATTGCTATAGACAGAATTTCTAGGTTTGATGTTAGAGCATTTGAAAAAAAAAATTGTTTTGAAATAATGTTAGACTGACTGAAGAATTGCCAAAAGAGAACAGAAGTTTCTTGTACATTCTTCATTCAGCTTTCCCCAATATTAACATCTTCAATAACCATTGAACACATCCGTAATAAGAAAGTAACTTTGGTACTACATTATGGATTAAACTATAACTTTTGTTTGGATATTTTTACTAATCTCCTTTTTCTAGTTGAGGATTTAATACAGGGTCCTAAACTGCATTTATTTGTCATGTTTCTTTAGTAACTCTAGTCTGTGACTGTTCTCAATCATTTCTCATTTGTTTGTTTGGTTTTGATCTTGGCATTTTAAAGATTATTGTTCAGGTATTTTGTAGAATGTCATTCAGTTTTTGTTTGTGTGAAGTTTTCTTCTGATTAGATTGAGTTTATGGGTTTTGGGAAAGAATACCACACAGGTGATTTTTCCTTCCCACAACATAATATCAAGGAGCTCTGGTGCTGCTTTAGTTAAAGTATTCAGCTGTTAACCAATAGGTAGGTAGTTCAAACCCCACAACTGCTCTATGGGAGAAAGATGAATTGATTTGATGGCAGTGTTTTTTGTTTTTTTTCTTTAATCACATAATATCAGACTCTATAGGTATTAATGACTTATGGCTAGTAATGTCAACTTTATCACTTGGCAGTGATCTACCAGATTTCTCCACTGGAAAGTTACAACTTTTCCCTTTCCATACTCCATTTTTTAAGAGTCACTAAGCTCAGCTCATCCTTAAAAGGAGAACTAAA